GGAAATCCAGAAACCATAGAAGGTGTCAATGCTTCATCCACTGCCATCCTGACATCAGTTATCCCTAAATGATCCACTGCTGTATTTATTTGTGATGTGGGGTTTGAAAATATTTATGGTATTATGAGAGCATTGAGTGTAGCTAGGCAATGTTTAAAATAGGTGTAGTTACTGCTATGTAGTTTGCTTTTTATTGCTCAATCCACCAGGTATAAAAACCTACGTTTAGCTAAAATTAAAAACAGCACAATCATCAGGTACATAATTTACATTTTTTAAAATTTGTCTTTTGTGCTGATTCTTCTTCTTTCAGTTGAAATCTTCCTCTGCCCTATGATCCCCATACCATATGATCTATTTTATGAAGTGATGTACATTTTAATTGTGAAATATAGCAAACGGCATCCTTAACAACCAGTAAGCAACATGGTTGTTAAGGAACGGCGGCCGCTAGCATCAGTAACAGAAAATATCACGGTTGTTAGGGAGCAGGCAGCTGCCACGTCCTTAACAGTCATGACTAATCTGCTGTCAGTGGGGTTCACCACTGACAGCAAAATGTAAACAAAAGAATTGCCGGAATACAAAATTTGATTTAAAAAAAGCAGCATGGAACTCCAAGCCAACATTTAAAAAAAATCCATACCAGACACTTATCTGAGCATACAGCCTGGCAGGCCAGGAAAGGGGGGAACAAATGAGTGTCAACCCTCCTGAACCATATCAGACCACATGCACTCAACATGGCGGGGTTGCAGAAGGTAATACTATCCCCCAAATCACCTGGTCTCCATGTTGATGGGGACCATGGGCTTATCAGAATCTGGATCCTGGACCCCCCCATGTGAATGAGTATGGAATACATACAGTAGTAACCCTACTCATTCACCAAAAAATGGTGAAAAGTAAATAAAAACAGTAGACAGTTTTTGACAAGACCTTTATGTAAAAACACACAATGTCTGCTGGATTCATCAAGCATGATAAACGCCAGCCACCAACCTGAATAAAAAAAAAATTACCTGCATCAACGTTTGGCTCCAGCCAAAATGACAGGTCTGCCTCCTCCCACCACTAAATAAACTAAGGGATGGAGCCACCCGATGGAATCACCGGGTGACCACGCCCCCCCCTTTTTTTGTTTTACAAATTTGTTAAAAAATCATATTATTATTATTATTATACAGTATTTATATAGCGCCAAAGGGTATGCTCAGCGCTGTACAGTAGCAAGGGGGACAGAACATGAGACAACACAGTAACAATACAATACACAAAGGGTTCGAGGGCCCTGCTCTTTCGAGCTTACAATCTAGGAGGGAGGGGAAGGTGGTACAGGAGAAGATGGCTGTGGGGGATGGAGTGGCGGGAGGAGTGGAGGAGGTTAGTTGTTAGGTGAGGTCGGGTGTCAGGTGAGGTTGGGGTAGGCTTCCCTGAAGAGGAGGGTTTTCAGGGTGCGCCTGAAGATGAGGAGGGTAGGCGACAGTCTGATGGATTGGGGTAGGGAGTTCCAGAGGATGGAGGAAGTCCTGGAGAAGTCCTGCAATAGGGCGTGGGAGGAGGAGACCAGGGAGCTAGAGAGTAGGAGGTCCTGTGAGGAGCGGAGGGCACGGGTAGGGTAGTATTTGGGTATCAGGTCAGTTATGTAGTTTGGGGCGGCATTGTGAATGGCTTTGTAGGTCAGAGTTAGCAGTTTGAATTTGATGCGTTGGGCAATCGGGAGCCAATGAAGGGATTGGAAGAGGGGGAGGCAGATGTGGAGCGGTTGGTGAGGTGGATGAGTCTAGCCGCTGAATTTAGGATCGACTGGAGTGGGGATAGCGCTCGTTTGGGTAGGCCAGTGAGAAGGGAATTGCAATAGTCCAGGCGTGAGATGATGAGGGAGTGCACGAGTTGTTTGGTGGTGTCCGGGGTGAGGAATGTGCGTATCTTGGAGATGTTGTGGAGGTGGAGCCTGCAAGATCTAGATAGCAGTTGGATGTGGGGTAGGAAGGAGAGGTGGGAGTCCAGGGTGACACCCAGGACTTTGGCGTGTGGGGTGGGAGAGATGGTGGCGTTGTTAGTAGTGATGGAGAAGATGGGGGGGGGCACAGGGTGGGGGGAAGACCAGGTGCTCGGTTTTGGATAGGTTAAGTTTGAGGAAATGGAGCAACATCCAGTCTGATATGTCGTTTAGGAGGTGGGCGATGCGGACAGAGAATGAGGGGGTGAGGTGGGGGGGTGGAGAGGTAAATTTGGGTGTCGTCGGCATAGAGGTGGTAATTGAAGCCGTGGGAGTGTATAAGTTTGCCTATGCAATATCATAACATTCAACAATTCCTATTTTTCTTGCTTTTCTTTTTCTTAGTACATTATCTTCATATTCCCTTCTTATACCACGCACCACGCCACATTATGATGTCATCCCCCAGCACACCCTGGCCAATGATGTCGTAAGGGGGTGGGGATATCTGGTGACTTCATCGAGTCATCCCGCCCTTTACCTTGTTTAGTGGCAGAGTTGTCATTTGGTGGGACCCAAGTGTCGTGTGCTGGTCAATTTTTTTTCTCTGTTGGGGTTGGTGGCTGGTGTTCATTGTGATTGATGTTGAATCTACTTCAGGGGACATTTAGTTATTTGTGAGTTTTGTTTTTCTAATAAAGGACTTGTCAGAAACAGTCTCTTGGTTTTTATTTACTTTTTTACTCTTTTTGGTGAATGAGTAGGGTTACTATGTACCCCCATACTCATTCACATGGGGGGCTGGGATCTGGAGCCCCCTTAATAAAGAGGACTTTCAGATTCCCATATGCCCCTTGCCTGCAGACCCCTATAACCACCACCCAGGGTTGTGGGGAAGAGGTTCTTGTCCCCATCAACATGGGGACAATGTGCTTTGAGTGGGGGGGAGTCCCCCCTCCACCAAAGCACCCACCATGTAGAAGTCATGTGGCCTGGTATGGTTCAGAGGGGTCACTCACTCATCCCCCCTTCACTTTCCTGGCCTGCTGGGCAGCATGGTCAGATAAGGGTCTGGTATAAATTTTGGGGGAACCACATGCCATTATATTTTTTAAATGTCATGGTTGTTAAAGACGCTGGTGGCCACTGCACCTTAACAAGCAGCTATTTACTTGTTGTTAAGGGTGCCAACAGGTGCCTGCTCCTTGACAACCAGCTAAAATAAAATACATTCTTTAACCAATTCAATACCGGGCAATTTTACAGCTTCCTGCCCAGGCCATTTTTCAGGTTTCAGCGCTCCCACACTTTGAATGACAATTGCGCGGTCATACAACATTGTACCCAAACTAAAATTTTATCATTTTCTTCACACAACTAGAGCTTTCTTTTGGTGGTATTTAATCATCACTGGGGTTTTTATTTTTTGCTAAATTAACAAAAAAGTCCGAAAATTTTGAAAAAAAAAAACACGTTTTTCTTTGTTTTTGCAAATAAATAATTGTTTCTTCATAAATTTAGGCCAAGATGTATTCTGCTACATGTCTTTGGTGAAAATAACCCAAATTAGGATGTATTTTTTAGTTTGTAGGAAAGTTATAGAGTTCACAAACTATGGTATAGATCTGAATATTGATCAATCCATAAGTACTGACAGCCAATCTAATTTCTTGACGTCCAAGAATGTCAGAATAGTACAGATATCCCCCAAATGACCACTTTTTGCAAAGTAGACAGTCCAACGTACTTCATAAGAGGCATGGCGAGTTTTTTGAAGTTGTTGTATTTTTTTTTGTCATAATTTTTCGGAAAATGAAAAAATAAAAAAAATAATTTTCACTATTTTTTTTTTACATACTGTCACCAGTGCAGTACAGTGTCTTCATATAACTGGCATGGCGGGTGATCAGGGACACTGACTGGTGACAGTGTGAAAAAAAAAAAAAAAAATTTTTTTTTTTATTACATTTTTTTTCTTTTTTTTAAGATTTTTTTTTTTATTTCACTATGTCCAAAGTAGTACAATGTTACCATAGTAACATTGTACTACTTTGGGGAAGTGATCAGTATTTTTTTTTTTTTTACACAATTTGCTTATAGCAAAGAATTACTTTGCTATAAGCAAGCATTTACCTGAATGACATCGATTCATTCAGGGTTTTTTTTTTTTTTTTGCTTAGCTGTGATTTGGCCACAGCTAATCACATGACATGTGCATGTGATTAGCTGTGACGATTCACAGCTAGACACTAGTATACAATGGATGGCATTAATGAAGCCATCCATTGTATATACAACTGTCATGTGACCTGCTGTGATTGGTCACAGCAGGTCACATGGTACCGTCAACGGGGGCTGGTACTCAGATCTGTCATCGGCCGTGTCCAAGGTACACGGCCGGTGACAGATCGCGCCGCTGCGCGGCTCTGCAAGTGCGCAAACTGCGCATGTGCGGGAGGACGCCATATGGCGGCCTCCCGGAAAGCTAATACATTTTTACGGACGCCATTCGGCCATAGGCCGGGCATCAAATGGTTAACTATAGCATGCATGGACCACTTCTTATTTACTGCATGCATTTATTTTCTTCCTTTAATGAATTGACTTTAATGCAGTTTTATGCAGTATTTACTGAGCATTTTTGCTTTTTGAGGTAAATGCTACTTAAAGAGATACTGAATTGACATTTTCAGCATCGCATGTGGTATCTGGGGAAAATGTGTCCGATTACTTAAAACTGCTTGTGATCTGCTTTAGTGAATTCAGCCCTTTATTTCATATGCTGAAGTGTTTTACATATATCACTGAATTATTCACATACCATTTCTGTGCCCAGCAGAGCCTACAATAACGTTTCCTAAAAAATATCTCACACAATCATGGGATGAACTGACACATTCCAGTCAAATGGTTGAATGAATGATTGTTTGAATTAAACTTAGGAACCCAGCAGGTAAAATTGCTCATGTATGTTTTGTTTATAGAACATTATTGAGAGAACAATGAAAGTCCACAAGATATGGCATATTATTTACACATTGTAAAGTGATAGAGGCTTTCAAAAACATGAAAAAGATATCCAATAACACAAAAGTATACAATGGTCTTTCAGCGAGGGCACAGCCAACATCTCATATTCACGAGGTAAGGAGGCATTGCTTTTGGGCTGTGGTGTAATTTCTATGTTCTTTCTGTCCACGGTGGGTTTCAGAGTAAATCTTTGCAAAATGGTTGTAAAAAATAGGAAGAGTTCCATGCGAGCCAGACCCTCGCCCATACACATACGTTTGTTCCTGGGAAAGAAGAATGAAAACACAACTGTCACTTTTTGAAAACAAAGGTCCTTATCCTGATGTGTTAGCTTTGTGAATTGAGCCTATGTTCCGGAACACAACCATGGTTTAAATTAAGAACCCGCTGTCTATCCAAAAATGATTAGCTACAGTATATTTGTAATTAACTACAAGACGGTACCTGCTGAAAATGGCATAAAGGCATCACTCTTCTTAAAGGTGCCATTCTCATTAAGGAAATGTCCGGGGTCAAATTTGTCAGGGTTTTTGAACTGTTTGGGGTCCTTCAAGACTGAAGTTAAGACTGGAAACACCAACGTTCCCTGAAATTAAAAATTAAAGAATTCAATTGTTTAACTGGAAACAGATGCAAGAAAAAAAGAAGGTAGTATTAAAGTTTTACAAAAGTAAATACTAAAGTATTAAAAAGGAAGAATTGTAAATCCTAGAAGGAAAGCAGATTGCAGCCCACGGTACAGCTTTGCAAGGACAATGAGCTGAGGCTCTGTCTAAGCCCCGCTAGCTCTTCATACACACTCAGGTTCCATGTTACACCAGTCCTAGGCTTGATCAGGAGTCCAGAATACTGTTTGTTTCACTAGGCCTTGTCTACTCAGTGTGTCCCTATTCAACACCTCAGGCCCATGAGACAAGGGTACCTAGATAGATGATGGAATCTATTTGTCCAGTGCCGTTGATGGAGACTCCATCCATAAACCATTACTCACTTCCTAGCCTGAAACCTCTGCTCGCCTTAGTCAATCCTAGTATGGATGTGTATGTGTGCAAGTCTCAGTCAATACTGCTCCACTGGCCATGCCCCATGACATGTTTCACCCCACCCACTCACTTCCTGACCAAAATCAGCTGCAAAATCTCACTTTCTCCAAGGCCTCGCTACACTGTTATCTTTTTAGAAAGAATGGGAGACCAGTTCAGTATACTCACTTGCAGAAGAGAACATTTACTTTAAGATTTGTTCAACAGGTACTGTACAGCTTCATAGTCTCTCATAGTAAAGCATATTATATAATATCTCAACAGTGCAGAGCATAAAGGTTCCCATAACAGTACAAAACCTCTCAGTTTGGCATTTCTTTTACAAATGTCCTGGTCCCTAGCATCAGGAGGAGAATTACAGCAACCACAATTTACTAATGGCATATATACAATATCTTTGGTGGAAATAGCAGTTCCATTCCTTCTGGACTCCATTAGCTGCTATTATCTTTTGGCTCCTCCCACAACCTGCTTATATATCCCTTGCTCAGCTAGAATAATGGACAGAGAGGCTCCTTAGCAACACAAGGGCAAAACATTTACATAAGGGGACTTACAGGATTCCACAAGTGCAAAACCAGGGTGAACACTGACATCCTACAGGAACTACAAAAGACATCCTCTCAGACATCCTCTATAACATTACCGTTGGTTCTCCCCCGTCCCCTTAATATTATTAGCATCAATATACTAATTATATATATATATATATATATATATATATATATATTTTTTTTTTTTTTTTTTTTTTTTTTTTTAAGTTCTCTATTTTGATTACATCTTATTTTAGACCCAGTAATGACATCACAGATTCTCTGTGCTTCGTTATGCAATGCAGGTGGGAGGAGCTGGCAGGATGTTCCTGAAAACAGCATATACCTTGCCTTAGTACTCTTCTCAAGATCCATTAGCCCTGATATACACAGTGGGCTAGCTTTTGGGAAGAGTTATACAAATATCAAAATGCATTTATGAGTGGATATTGGTCTGGGCATTCCTGTATTTGCATGCAGACTGCTCTAGATAACACCCACATGTGATGCCCACCCTCAATGACCGAAAGAATTGAAAACCAATGGATGGAAGAGGTGGACCAGGGACATTAACGCTGGAGAGGCCAGGACCAGGTGATGCTTGATGCCTCCAACAAGGAAACTAGGTGGGCTTTATTTGACACTGTACGAGGTACAGAATGTGCAGTGAGCAAGAAATTTCAATAAAGCACAGGAGGTCAGCCTTAATATTTAGCAAAGAAAAATAACTTACCCTAATCTAAACGTGGCCTAACACATATACCTTTAATCCCTTAAATTCTTCTATAGCTAGAGTTTTCCTTAAAGTGATTATAAACTTAATTTTTTTTTAAAGTAACAAATATAATCTAAAAAATGTACAGTGTTGAGATAAACATATTCAATACCATCAATAAATATGCGACTATCAATTTATATTAATTCCTAAATAAAAATATAATATCATCAATTGATATGTGAACACTCAAAAATCTCCAAATATTTCATAGGAAAAAAACAAATTGAAATTAAAACACAAACTATGTGAAAATAGCACAAGGTCCCCCAAAAGGTAAGGTAGAAACAAAAAAAAAATCTTCATCCAAGAAAGTTGCCAAGTGTATCCAAACTATCAACCAAAGACGTCATAGATAGTATAGCCAGTACAATTAGGCATCAATGGCATCCCCTGTCTCCTCCTAGAAACATCACACATCAGCGTTCTACAAACCATCACCTCCAGTCTTCAGCAGCTTAAACTCAGGGGAGAGACAACCATACAAACGTCCCACATAGTGTAAAAAAATCTTCTGGTACCTCAAATAATTAAGATTAGTTCTCTGGTAAGTGTGTACCACGCCACTATCTGGGTGATACTTTGGATACACTTGGCACCTTTCTTGGATGAGAAGAATGTTTTGTTTAAACACTTAAATTTATTTCTAGCTTTTGAGGACTTTATACTGGTTTCACATAATTTATTTTTAATTCCAGTTATTAATTTTCCTATGAAATATTTGGACAATTTTGAATATTCACATATTAATTGATGATATTATATTTTTATTTAGGAATTAATCTAAATTTATTTTCACATATTTATTGATGGTATTGATTCATTTTCAGTGCAACACTCTAAATTTTTATTAATCAATGTATTATTTAAAAAAAAAAAAAGTTTACAATTACTATATTAAAATTCTAGATACAGAATAGTTTAAGGGATTTTCCTATTCAATTTTTGAATATTTTTGAGTATTCACATATTAATTGATAGTATTATATTTTTATTATTTGTGAATTGATATTCACATATTTATTGATGGTATTGTAGTGTTTGCTGCTTTTTTGTTGGCTTTACTCTTTTGACACATTTACGCAGTTTCCTTTTTGTATATAACAAATATATTATACTTACAGTTCCTGCTCTGTGCAATGAAAATGAGAGGAGAGCGCCACTGGATCGAGACCTGAAGTAAGTATAAGGGGCAGTGAGGGGGGTGACATTTTTACCTAAACATTTTTTTACCTTGGTGAATGAATGCATTAAAGTAAAAAATATTTAGACCTTAGAACCACATTCATTTTTGCTTCTTGGGTCTCCTCGTGAAGTTTCCCTTTACATTTTGCCTTGAGATACAATAAGAAGTGATGTCTCTCTAAATTGTTGGTAATCCTATTTTAGACAATTGTCACAAGAACAGGTGTTCTTATTGGAAAGTTTATCCTCTTCTCCTAGCCCAGTGACAACTGAAAATTTTCAATTTTTCCTCACTTTCAGTCCTTCTCACCTGTATAATTCAAGAGGGTGAATTTCTCAAGAGGAGACCAAGGCAGCAATAAAAAAAACTGATGTAAATCCTAACCCTTGTATATTCTATCCTAAATGAAATAAAATATGACTTCAAATACAATTTAACATTGCAAGTTGTGAAGGCATGATAATCCCTGCCTCTGTGGCATTATTTGGAAAAAGACTATAACCCAAGGCACTTGGTGCCCTAATTATAAACCACTTCCTTCAGCTGTAAAGTAAACCTTTAGTATATAAAAAAATATATTTAAAAAAACTAAAAATTCCATTCCACAATCCATGCAACAGGTGGTCTTCTTTATTTTTCTAGCAGCTAAACTAACTATTGCTAGATCATGGAAGAAGACCCTAGTCTTCATCTTTCAAGTACGGAAAAAAATTCCCTGCATTATGTTCCATGAGATGAGAAAATTGCGAGTTTTATTCAGGACACGCTTAACCACTTTAAAAAAGTTTGGGGCCCATATATGCATATTGATATTTAAACTTGCAGTGTATGGGCTGTGATGTAGATTGGTGCTGCAGTCCCTAGGATCCTTCACCTTTCCCTTTTTCTTCCTTTGCTTTCCTCTTTTATTTCCTTTTTTCTTTTTGTAATAGTGCTGTTGTTTGCTGTACAACCTAGGACTGTGGATGAAGCCCCCTGGCATGGGTGGGGGTCTAATATGGATACTAGTGATCCAGGGCTGTCCCCAGGGTTGGTGTCACCTGGTGCAGTAACACTTGTGTCACCCCTCTGACGATCCCCGCAGGATGGATTTGATCTGTGGATTGTGCATAATGGACCGATCCATTATGCTCCCCAATCCACAGATCCAATCCATCCTGCGGCTTGCAACCTATACGGGGTTAACTGATCTCTCCACAAAAAGCAGTTTCGTGGAGCGGGTCACGGGTGTCACCCAGTGCCCATGGGACAGGTGTCACCCAGTGCGGCGTGCACCCACCGCACCAGTAGTGATCCCATATAAGAAACCCACATAGGCACAGAGAGAACATGCAAACTCCAGGTACCATGGTTGGGATTCTGAACCAACAACCCTAGTACTACCAGGCGGAAGTGCTAATCATTTAGCCACTGTGCTGAGTTGTTTTGGCCTACTCTTATACTGTTTTCTAGGGCTAATATTGAATTACCACCTGGCTACCTGTGTATGATGACCTCCTTTGTGTTGGATGGCGCTATACAAATTTTCCCAAAAAAATGTTGAAAGAAAAAACTAAAAATGCAACAAAGTATAAGGTAATTGCATACCTCCTTACATTTTATATCTAATATATTAAAATGACAGCATGTCAATTAAGATCATCCTGGAGGTATAACTATGTGCTAAACATAAAAAGCTGTCACTTACTGTCAGGAATGGACTGGCCAGCTATGGTGGGACTCACCTGCCTTTTGATCTGCAGTACCAGGGCTGGCCAGCGGGTGTTCCCAGCAATCAGAGACTCAACTTTGCAGCCAGCTAACACCTGTAACTGATTATGCTGGGGTATTTAAGGGATGCCAGACCCACAGACTCTGCCTTGGTGTGTGTTTGTCCTGGGCCCTGCATCCTGTTTCTGTCCTGCATCCTGTTTCTGTCCTGTATCCTGTTTCTGAACCGCTGCTGACTTCTCCTGCTCTGATCCCGGCTCGCTCCTGACCATCCCTCTGTCTGACCCTCTGTACCACGCTGCTTGCTACCTGTTCTGATACCTGGCTTGTGACCCTGACCAATCTCCGCTTGCTCCCCCTGTACCTACCTGCCCTATTGATTGATATTGACCCGGCCTGCCTGACAACGCTTGCTTGTATGTACTGTTATCTGTGGGTGGTTTGGTTGGGTTTGTTTGCACTGTATTATGTTTAGTATTGCACTGCGTTTATGTTTGTATTGTTAGTGTTAATAAATTATATTGTTTATAACATATCTGAGGTCTGCGTTTCCCTGCGTCAGTCACACATCTCTGGTCACACCTGGGAGCCCTGACACTTACCATGTGCCTTTGCTACCTCTTAAAGCTGGACTGGGAATCCAAAAGACATTCAATAACAAAAGAAGGTAAACAAGCTACATAGTACAATAATACCCTTATTATTGTACTATTTTAACCCCTCCTGCCGCTGGCTCTTTAAGTCTTTTAAAAGCTGGGTGATGGAGGTGGGCATTTGGGTCATCTGACTGCTGTGATTGGCTGTCACAGTAGTCACATGATTGTAAAGCTCCCAGCACAGAGAAGTGTTTACATAGGGCCACATATATGCGGCTCCTAGACGTTAAAACCCACTCGCAAGAGGTTGCTTATACGCGCCATATCAGAGGGAAGAGGTTAATAACGGTATCACTGCACTATGTGGCTTTTTTATACCCTTGTTTACCCTCTTCTGTGGCATTATTTTCCTAGTAGGGATGAAATACATTTATTTATAAGATGCTATCTTCATAAGGAACAATACCACTTTCTCACAAAGGGAGAGGATTACATTGTTCCTGTACCAGAAGTCAACTTTTGTATCTTAATATGTTAATGAGTTTGGGTGAAGAGCAAATCTGGGTTGTTGAATTTAACTTCAGAGTAGAAGTAGAAGCAGGCTAATTCTGGCATGAGCTCTGACTTGGGCAGACATTTCAAACGCAAGATATGCAACGCAAAATCATTTGACACAGTTCCCCACACACGGCTAATGTGTAAGGTAAAGTCTACAGGCTTGGAAAAATCCGTATGTAAATGGATAGAAAACGGGCTAAAAGATTGTATTCAGAGAGTAGTGGTTAATGATTCATACTCTGAATGGTCTAGGGTCATCAGTGGTGTACCCCAAGGTTCAGTGTTGGGACCCTTACTTTGTATTATATTTATAAACAATATAGGGCCTGGGATTAAAAATTCGATTTCAGTCTTTGCAGATGACACCAAGCTGTGCAGTGGAATAACGTCCTTACAGGATGTCTCCAATTTACAAGCCAACCTCAATGCTCTGTGTAATTGGGCAACTATGTGGCAAATGAGGTTTAATGTTGATAATTGTAAGGTTCTGCATGTGGGAGCTAAGAATATGCATGCATCATCCATACTAGGGGGGTACAACTGGGGAAATCAATGGCGGAGAAGGATCTGGATGTTCTGGTAGATCACAAGCTTAATAATGGCATGCAATGCCAAGCTGCGGTTTCCAAAGTGAGCAAAATCCTCTCTTGTATTAAAAGAGATATAGATGCCAGAGAGAGAGAGATCATTTTCCATGGTACAAATCATTAGTAATACCTCATCTGGAATATGCAGTTCAGTTTTGGGCACACATTCAAAAAAAGAGCATTAGGGAACTGGAGAAAGTACAGAGAAGGGCAGCCAAACTGATAAGAGGCTTGGAGGAGCTCAGTTATGAGGAAAGATTAGAGGAACTGAATTTATTCTCTCTTGATAAGAGGAGATATATCAGGGGGGATATGATCTCCATGTATAATACATAAGGGGGGATATGATCTCCATGTATAATACATAAGGGGGGATATGATCTCCATGTATAATACATAAGGGGGGATATGATCACCATGTATAATACATAAGGGGGGATATGATCTCCATGTATAATACATAAGGGGGGGGATATGATCTCCATGTATAATACATAAGGGGGATATGATCTCCATGTATAATACATAAGGGGGATATGATCTCCATGTATAATACATACGGGGGATGTGATCTCCATGTATAATACATAAGGGGGGGGGGGATATGATCTCCATGTATAATACATAAGGGGGGATATGATCTCCATGTATAATACATAAGGGGGATGTGATCTCCATGTATAATACATAAGGGGGGATATGATCACCATGTATAATACATAAGGGGGGATATGATCTCCATGTATAATACATACAACATGTATAAATACATCGTGGTTCATATAGTGAACTCCGTGTAGAGCTATTCACCCTGAGGTCATCACAGAGGATAAGGGTGCACTCTTTTTGTCTAGAGGAAAATAAATTTAATCTCCAGACACGGAAAGGTTTCTTCACAGTAAGAGCTGTGAGAATGTGGAATAGACACCCTCAAGAGTTGGTTCTGGCCAGCTCAGTGGATTGCTTTAAAAAGGCCTGGATTCTTTCTGGATACACAAAATATAACTGGATACTAACATTTATAGGTAAAGTTGATCCAGGGTATATCTGATTGCCTCTCGGAAGATCAGGAAGGAATTTTTTCCCCTGCAGGAGCAAATTGGATGATACTTTGCTGGGTTCTTTCTTTGCCTTCCTCTGGATCAACTGTGGGTGTAGGATTATTATAACTTTTTTTTTTATGGTTGAACTGGATGGACTTTTGTCATTTTTCAGCCAAGCGTGGCAGCTTTGCATATTTCCTCCATGTCCAGTAACTCTTCACAAAAAGCTGCTTGGTTGCAGGACCTGGCCTTACAATTCTATGGTGCCTGTGCATCACTTGTTAAGATTTCTTGCCCCTGAGGGCAGTTAAACCCTGCTTGTACTAATTCCTCTAACTATTATGGACAGCTTGGGGATGTCTATAAGTAGTTCAATATTTTATGTAAATATGCCAAATTAATAAAATAACTTTAACTACTGGTTAAAGTGGTTCTAAATCCTAAACAATTTTTACCTTACTGCATTTCCTACATTAAGGTGAAAAATGCTTAGGTAGCAGTATGCTCCTTCATGCTGCCCCCCTCATACTTACCTGAGACCTCCCTCAATCCAGTGCTGTGTTCATCTGTAGCATTTATCTCTCCTTTTTCCCCACTCTCACAGGCTTGGTTGAGAACAGCAGGAACCATTGGCTCCTGCTGTTGTCAGTCAAATCCTGTGACAAGGGAGTGGGGGGTGGGGGGGCAGAGCCATGCTGTCTGTGACTATGGATTCAGGCACTGTAACTCGGGAGCGAGCCCGCAGCTTCCCATGGTGGTACACTGAAAATAGAAGGATCCAGAAGTGCTTGCGGGGGACCCAAGGAAAGGAGGTTCCAGGCAGCTCTATGCAATTCCATTTCAAAGAACAGGTAAGTATAAACCTGTTTGTTATTAAAAAATAGAAATTAAAATCACTTTAATTCCTTAACAGCTATGAGATGATAACAAGTGCCTCTGGTGTATAGAGGCACTTACTATTGCATGGAGAGGTTTTCCAACTTTGTAAAAAGTCTGGCTGTAAGTACAACTGATCCTTCACTCTGGAACAGAACAAAGGAAGGGATCACAGTACACTGTGCACTATTGTTAGTGCTGGTACTAGAATGACTCATGTGATGGTAGGAAAATATTATACCTTCTGGCCTGGTATTCTCAAGGGAAAATACCTGCCCTCCTTCTACTAGACTTAGATGTGATAGATAGATAGATAGATAGATAGATAGATAGATAGATAGATAGATAGATAGATAGATAGATAAAAAAAACATGGAAACATCTCAGAACGTCTTGGAACTCTGAGAAGAGCACCTTTGGAATGTGATATCCTCTAAAGCTGGCGTCCTTGCTGGCTGCATGGGGAAGTCCTCCTGGTACAATATCAGCAAATCTCTGGACTTCATGAATGACAGCATCTGTATATGGCATCTTACTTCTATCCTCTGCTGATGGACAGCGATCACTTCCTATCACTTTGTCAATCTCTTTATGGATCCTCTCTGGAGCACAGAGAAAGAGAGGAGCATGAAAAATATTAGATGTTGTCAAATCTATATATATTCATTTATGGATCAGTGTTATTCATATATTGGAAATAATGTGTATTTTGCCAAAACATTTTGCTAGAAAATGTTGCTAAAAATGCAGCAAAGCCTAATAATATGAATCCCTGAAGGGTGATGACATACAATAGAGTTGTAGAATGTTTATAAAATAGGAAAATGTTTTTCATGCTGGAATGGCATTTTCTAGTTTTTTAGACATTTGTATAGATAGTGTTTTCTGAAAAAAAGAATAACTTTCTAATAAAAGGGTAGTTCCTGGTAGTGAAAGCCTTCAGTGAGCTACATATACTATCCAGTAAAAAAAAGCAACTGTGCTACAGCCATAATGTGCCCTCAGTGTGCCATAATTTGAATTCAAAATAATCCTTTGCTGAAATGCACACACAGCTCCATAGGGGAACTTCCTTTCTCTGCACCTAGCATTGCCAGTCAGGGTCGCTGATAAGATAGTACATCCTATTCTCCTGTACTGGGCCTGGGCCCATTAGTTCAAAATGGTTGGCTTTATTGCCATTTGGCTGACACTTTTGACTCTTGTTTCTCCTCCTGCAGCGCTGCCAGCTGCTATTCCTTTTTCTCCCTCTGTCTGTACTGCAGGGGGATCGGTTCAAGTATCTGTTTCCCCACCCCCTTGCTGTTTGACCCCTTTGTGTGCCCATTTTCCCTGCAGTGCTGTTGGCTTCCCTCCTCTCCTCTCCTCTCCTGCCTGCAGCCACTGCAGGCATACAGGGGGATGTTTCAGGATGGAGATCGGGGGAAGGGGCTGGTAAATATGTCATATTTACCAGACCCTTCTTTTTTTGAATGAACACAGTGTGAAATTAGTACCGCTTGCTCCTGTGTCCAGTCGTTACTAAAAGTGATATTAAAAGTTTTATTTTTATTTTTTTAAAATAACAACCATGTTATACTTACCTACTCTGTGCAGTGGTTTTGCACAGAGCAGCCCTGATCCTCCTCTTCTTGGGTCCCCCGCTGGTGCTTCTGCTTCCTCCTCCTCCTGAACAGTGCCCCCACAGCAAGCTTCTTGCTATGGGGGCACTGGTGCATGCTCACTCCCGAGCCCTCTCTGCATCTATAAGACACAGCAGAGTGAGGCTTGGCCCCATCCCTGCTCCCTTCTCACTGCCAATGGCTCCCACTGATGTGTTTCAGCCAATGAGGAGGGAGAGATCCAGGAGAGCCAAGGGGAAAGCAGCACACTGATGTTTTTTTTTTTTACTTCATGCATAGAATGCAAGTAAAAAACCTTCAGTCTTTATAAGCACTTGAAGCATAGTAAACAATAGTAAACTGTGTTTACTATGCTTTGGTTTGTGATTTAGCAAGAAGCTGCTTATCACAGAGCTTCCTGTTCATAAATGTTTCTCCAGTGCAGCTGAGGGTGCAGAGAAATGGATTTGATGAATCTATGTCCTCAGTCCCTGGCCACTGCCTGTGCAGGGGTAGCAGTTGGTGGGTGGTAAAAAGCGCAGCTGAACCATGGGGTTTTTACTGCCCCTCCCCACAAACCTCACATGTGAGTGAGCCCTAAGGACTCATTCACACAGGTACTTGTGAAAGAGTGGATTGTTCATGCAGCTGGAACCACCTGTTAAGGGGATGCAATGGCTGTACAAGCACAGCCACAGGTCCTAATTTGGCAAGTGTGTACATGTAGGTAAGTTGCCAAGAATGCTCACTGTCCATGTTCAGAGCCGTACACTTGCAAATTCATACAGCTTCTGTGTCCTCGTAGAGTAGCATACAGTAGGCTGGTAGCACACAGCTCCAGTTGGCTCCAGCCAGATAAACAAACCACTAATTTACACTGTACATGTCACAGCGTCCATGTGAATGCACTCCAATACTTCATTCACACAGAGTTTTAGCAGAAATGTTGAGTTTGAGTCAACTAACAATGATTTTAGTGTATTTTTAGCAAAGATATTTGATTTTTTTTGGCTGGGGGAACATTGTTAGTTGTTTCTAGCAGGAATCCTGTAACCAATACTAGGGGTATAACTTGAATTTGTGGGGCTCCATAGCAATATTTTAATGAGACCCCCAGCAACTTGCACTGTCTGGAAATCAGACAACCTCCTTCGTGGGGGGGGTCCTGTTACCACTACATTTCAAAACAGGTTTGAATCTGAATTCCGAATACTGAGATTTTTTTGCACATTGGGTTTCTGGTGTGAGATGCAATAATCAGTATGTTCCAACATCACCAAATTACAGGGATTGATGTGGGCTAATGTAGTCAAGAAATGTGTGAGGGAAAAAATGGATGTAAAGAGAAATATGGCCAAAGCTTTTTTTTGGCCACAATTCTCATGTGGGTCACAGGAGTGCACACACTTGTGCTCAAAGGTAACACAGAATCACCCTTCAGTGGGCCAAAGCCTGCTGTTAGCTGATGTCACAGAGCAGCTCCAGACTCTGAAGGGATTCCAACAGTAATGTCGGGATCCACCCAGATGCCTTACAGGCAAATGGTTCAACAGTTCAGAGTGCCACTGAGAACCTGAGCCAGTCATTAACACCCCTCTTTAGCCTTGTGCTCCAGTGAGCACTGCAGGGGCAGAGCAGAGAGGTGTGATTGACAGTCACCACTCCCTGCTCAGAGTGGTCCCAAGATCTGAGCGATCAGCAGTCAGGTAATCGATCAGTTCTTGAGCTTAGAGCTGGCGGGGAACAGCTTGCAGCATCACACCAATGCTGCAGCAGGATGTTGATGCATGCTTGCTTATTTAAATCACACTCTTCTCCTTTAAGATTTGTACTGGGCTTGTGTCAGTGACATCATAATTTATTTGCAGGTGCAAATGACCTGGCATTGACCGCGTTCAAACCTGAATTTGGCTTTCTTCAAATGAGTTTTGCATTCCCATAGACTTGTATAGAAAAGCAAAACCTATTTGAAGCAAACAAAAGCCTGTTGACACTCAGAAGACTGGTTATGCTCTCTTTATGATCTCAAAGTTACATTTTTCAATTTACACAGAGCAAATTAACTTATTGTGCTGGTAGGAAAATTACCTTGTATCTCAGGGTATTTGAGCAGTATCAAGAAGGCGTATCGCAGTGTTACACTTGAAGTCTCAGTCCCAGCAAAGAACAGGTCAGTTACTGTTCCTAGCAAATTATCATTATGAAATTCTGTTTTGGGGTTGTTCTTTTCCTGAAAAATATTTTTAGTGTAATTTTACCACAAAATGGGACATAAGGCTACCACAATCCAACTTATGTTCAATTAGACTCCCACCCTAGCCCATACTGGTTTTTGTTTTCCTTTTGCGTATTGTTTGAACAACAGAGTTGAAAAAACTCTCACCTCTTCCCAGTAGTTTGGATAGCTGCTATTAGGCAGCAAAATTGGACTAATCATGAACCTTTTGCTATAACGCTCACACATTAATAATCAATCAATTGCAATATGGTATCAATTGGCACTTTTGTACTTTTAACCAGCCACGCAATAAAAGCGGAAATATCCCTTTAAAACATTTCTTGCTTAAGAAAAAATATAAAATTCTACACCAAGAATTAAAAATCAAACTCTCTTCTCTTCCATTTTTATGAGGAAACAATCTATGAAGTCCCGAGGGCAGTTCTCATCCAATGTGTCCTTGTGGGCTTCCACAATTTCTACCACAAACTCTTTAAGCTTTTCAAAAAAATTAAAAAGTTTCCGATGGGGGCCAGGTATACTACTCATTAAGCCTGGGAATAGATTAAGAAGCTGAAACAAATTTTTAATTGAGTGTCAAATTATGAGCAGTACATCTCCCTTACATTTTTAACACACTAAACCTTACCAAAACAAATCTCTAATATTCAGTTTTCCTGTCAATTGCTAACCTAGTGCCATCCTTGGAAAAACATCTCTAACCAGTGCTGGGCCTCAAATGTATGCATTTAATTGTTAGCCTGCAATGTTATAGGGTGTGTTGTCTGCCTAATACCATAGTGAACACTCAGGATAGGAGAAGAGATTTGTCATGTGATCTATCAAAGTCATATGGAAGGTTTACTCCTCTTGATACATTTTTATTATTATTATACAGGATTTATTATATAGCGCCAACGGTTTGCTCAGCGCTTTACATTGTAGTGGGAAACAATACAGTAACAATACAGTTCAATACAAGAGGGATTGAGGGCCCTGCTCCTTGGAGCTTACAATCAAGGAGGGAGGGGTGAATGGTACAATAGATAATAACTGTGGGGGATGGAGTGGTTGGAAGAGTAGAGGATTCCAGTATAAGCAGAGGGCAGGATAGGCTTCTCTGAAGAATTAGGTTTTCAGTGATCGCCTAAAAGTAAGTAGAGTAGGCGATAGTCTGATAGATTGGGGTAGGGAGTTCCAGAGGATGGACTTTTACCAACTCATTAGAGTGAATGAACCTTCTATTGCTTCACTGTTCTGAAGAAACCCTCTCTATTGGACCTAGTGACCATTGTCTCAGAAGGACCAGAAGGTCTCATAAATCTATATAAAATATGTGTAGTGTGTATACACATACAATCATACATTAAAAATATTTACCTGGCCCAATCGAGAATTCAGTAGGTTTGCAACTTCTTGAATAAGTTTCAGAAGAGTCATAAACTTCTTGTCTTCATAGTCAAATCTCTCTCCAAACACAATGGAGCAGATGACATTGGAGACAGCCAGTCTTAGCAGATAAGTTGGATTTATTGGTTTATCTGTTATTACACAAGCAGAACCAATCATCATTTCTGTCCCAAACATCAGCATATAGAATTGATTACAGACTAGTCTGGCATAAGGGATGAGCTAAAGGTTCAATCCAAACACAAGTTTGTACCAAACTTGGTTATTTCGGCATTCAGAATTTTAAGGTGTATTCCAGTGATGTGATTGACCAAATATAGCTATGTCCATATTTTATCAATTATGTCACCTGGGAGACCCTGCCTCTTTGTATATGTGAGCTGTTATCTGCCAGACCTGTCATTCGGGTGATTTGAATCAAAAACACAGTGTATGTTGGCGGGTAGTGCTTTTTTTCATTGGTGGACCTGCTATATTGATAGTGGATCTACTGTACATTGTGATGCTTTTTGTTGTTAAGGATTTGTCAAAAACTATAGGTGTGTATTTTTGCACTATTTACTATTTTGTGAATAAGTAGAGGTTGTATGTACCCCTTACACATTCACTTTGGGGGGAGCAGTATCTGGGAGCTTCCTTATCATTAGGGGGACTTCCAGATTCCAGTAAGCCCCCATCCACAATCCCCCACAACCACCAGGCCAAGGTTGTTGGGAAGAATCCCTAGTCATCGGCAACATGGGAACAGTGTGCTTTGCCGGGGGGGGCTCATGTTGAGAAAATGTAGCCTTGTATGGTTCAGCAGGGGGGTGCACATGTGTTTTTTTTCCCTTTCTTGGTCTGCCAGGCAGCATGCTTGAACAAGTGTCTGGCATGGGTTTTTTGGGGGGTTCCACACTTTTTTTTTTTATTTTTGCATTGGTTTTTCCCATAAAATTCATACCAGAATTGAAGAATTGAACAACCTGGTATGAAATGGAGGGGGAACCCAATTACTTTTTTTGTGTGGGGGTTCCTGGCCTCTTTGTTTGGGAGCCCCTGTCCGCTTTGTTTACAAACAGAATAAAGCATCCGGGAGCTGTAATTTTGCTGGCAATTTAACCACTTCTCCCCTTAAAAGCTAACTTCACCTGTTTTTGTCTCTGCTTGCCTTTCAGGACAGCATCTGGAGGGAGCGCAGCTCCACACATAATCACAGGAAACACTGCAATTAAAAGATCTGCCTCTTCTACCATGCCCTCAGTTATGGTGTTTCCATTGACCATAGTAGAAGCGCTGCAGGAACCTGGATTATTTGGGCTCCACTCTCTCCAGTGGGGGGGATGGCAGTCCTTACCTCACAGGAGATGTGTGTGTGTGGACCAGCTTAGCTCCTTCAGGGGCGTTCAGGTGCCTTCTGTCCCCTCTCTGCTCAGTGGAGCAATGGCTAGCTAAGGAGTCCCGGCTTGTCTAGGGGCTTGGAAGGGAGCGGGTCTCCCAGGGCCAGGACCAAGGGAAGCCATCAGATGGCTTCCTGCGGTGTCTTGGAGGCCCGGCCGGTGGGGCACACCGAGCTGGTAGGCAGGACTTCTGATAGGGGCATGGCAGCATTGGTTCCGGCTGCTGGAACACAAGGGGAAGAGGCAGGTCGGCGGATGCTTACAGTTCCAGGGCACCAGCATTCTAGAGACCGGTGGGAACTTCAAGAAGACCACAGGTTTCAGCAAAGCTGTGCACTCTGCAGGATGGTGGAGGCAGAGGGTTCAGTGGCACCGGCAGAAGCAGGCGCATCATGCACCCGCCTAGCCCAAGTAGTACAGTGGTGCCTTTTATCCATATGGTGGGGCTTTGTTGTCTTTCTTTATGGTTTGCCTTCCCTGTTAGGGAAGACTGCTGCCTTGGCACAGAGGTGACTCTGCTCTGCTCCAAGGCTCAGGGGGATGACTTAGGGGTTTTGTGGGCTAATCTCTCTCTCTCTCTCCAGTTTGGGATCAGGGAATCTGCAAAGAAAAGAGAGAGAGAGAGGCCTTTCTATTCCTTCTATCCCTCAGAGATTTGAAAGAAGAGAATCAGCATGAAAGAGCAGGTTGCAAGTTCCTCCAGATATAAACTATCGTTGGAGGGAGAGAAGGTGGAAGACTTGCTGAAAGACTCATTATATAAGACGCTGGAAATTCAGGAGGAGAAAGCTGTCAGTACACGGAAAATTGTACCAAGGCCTGATCTATCAAGTAATTCCAGACCCAATAAGGAAGGAATGGCTGGGCAGCACAGTGGCTAAGTGGTTAGCACTTCCACCTAACAGCACTCGGGTCATCGGTTTGAATCCTAACCATTGCCTTACCTGCAGAGTTTGCATGTTCTCCCTGAGTCTGCGTGAGTTTCCTCCCATACTCCAAAGACATTCTGGCAGGTAAATTCACCCAAGTGTATGATTGTGAGTTAGGGACCAAAGGCTGGCCATACATTATAAAAAAAGGGGGGCCATTTCTTTTCCAAATCCTTAGAAAGAAGGTTCCCCCTCTATGAAGATGAGTCGCTTGTATAGAACAAAAAAAAAAGGTTGGGTGCGGCCTTTTTTCGCAAGTTTTGAGGCGCACTGTCTTGGCTTTTTGACGTTATGGGCATCCTGAAAGATGCAATGGATAAAAGGGCAGACTCTCTCTTTAAAATAGAGTGGGACTCTTCCCTGACCAGCCTCAATCCGGCAAGGGTGTCCACAGTGGTGGCGAGAAGTTTGAAATAATCAGCTGAGGGATCTTCGTGAAGGCAGGGACCTCCAGTAGAGAGCTTTTGGAGTCATTCCCGGTCCTTCTAAAAGCCATAAAATATATGGCTGATGGATAGGCGGAGTCTATTAAGATGACAGCCAGGTTCCTGGCATTGGTCATCTCGACAAGGTGAGCTATCTGGCTCAAAACCTGGTCGGGGGACTCAGCATCCAAAGTGAAGTTATGTGAGATTCCTTATTCAGGAGACCTGCTTTTCGGCCCAAGAGCTGGAAACGGTGCTGGATGGAATGGCAGATAAGAAGAAACCTTTCACATCAAAAAATAAGCTGGTCAGGAAGAATTTTCGTCCTTTTTAGCACTACAGGCATGTGACAGCGTAGTGGCTTAGTGGTTTAGTACTGCTCCCTAGAGAGCATTAGGTTGCTGGTTCGGTTCTCAAACATGGCACTACCTTGCACGGAGTTTGCATGCTCTGCCTGTGTGGGTTTCCTCCCATGTTTCAAAAGACATGCTTGTATTTGTTTGACCCTGAAAAGAAAATGTGAGTTTTCAAAAGAATAGGGGTAAAAGGGGAGTGTTCTTCAGACCCCAGAGCGTGCCTTTGTCAGAAACATCGTGGCCCAAGGGTACCCCCTGGAGTTCTCCCAGACCCCACAGACCAGATTTTGTGTAACCAGTCTCCCAAGGAGTCAGGAGATGACCTCAGAAATGACGCGCCTTTTGAGGGAACTGATGCAGCAGGTGCCAAGGGAACAAGAGGGTCGGGGGTTCTACTTGCTCATCTCTTTAGTCCAAAAGCACTCAGGGAGGTTCCATTTGATTTTGAATCTGAAAATACTGCACAAATCCATTAGGTACAAGCACTTTCACATGGATACAATTTTTTTTTAAGTGAGGAAGCTGCTGTCCCAGAGACATCTTAGGGCGACTGTCGATCTGCGGGATGCTTACCTGCATATTCCAATAGTGCAGTCTTCTAAAAAAGTTCCTCCGACTGGCGGTCAAAAGAGGAACGTCTATTATGGCACCTACAATTCAGGGCACTACTCTTTGGCCTGTCATCTTCTCCAAGGGTGTTCACCAAAAGGTCATGGCAGAAGCACTAGAGGTTGAGCTGGATTTCGGGGGTGCCATATTTGGACGACTTACTTGAGTTTGCGAGAACCAACGCACAGGTGCTGTTAAATCTTCAGGTGACTCAGGCTTGTCTGAGAAGCTTGGGATGGCTGCTAAATCTGAAGAAGTTCAACTTGATCCCAGTCCAGAGGGTAAGGTTCTTGGGATATACCATAAATTCCGTACAACAGAGGATATTTCTTCCGGAGGTGAAAATGGTAGGTTTAGTCGGCACTGAGGCAGATTCAGTGCAACCTGTTGGTGTCTGTCAGCTCTAGGACTACTTACTGCCTCCATTCCAGCTGCTCAGTGGGCCTGGTTTCATTCCCGACCTCTCCAGGGGGACATCCTGTGAAAGTGGACATACCAAGGCCCGCTGGACAGGCCTATAAAATTTTCTCCAAAGGCGAAGAGGGCTCTTTGGTGGTGGCAAGACCCTGAGCAACTTTGAGAGGGGTCTGCCACTTCGGAGACTGGAAGGCACAGGGCTAATGGTCCAGAGCAGAGGCCAGGAAGTCCTCAAACTAGAGAGAGTTGAAAGCCATCCAATTGGGTCTTCTTTCCTTTCAGTAGTCAGTGAAGGGGCATCACATTCAGGTCCTCTCGGGCATTACATCAGTGGTGGGGGACTGCTAGAGTTGGCACAAGAGATCCTGTCTTGGGCAGAAAAGAAGTTGGCCTCCCTCTTGGCCATTCACTTAAAGGGCTCGCAGAATTGACTGGCAGATTTTTTGAGCAGAAGAAAGGTAGTAGAGTCCCAAGTTCTGTACACATGTCCTAGTGTTTTGTGTGTCTCATGGATCAATAAATATTTTCTATTATTCATCAATCCTCTGATGTGCAGCTAACCCTTCTTCCTATTGCCTCATGTGTGGTGGCATGCCAGAGTCTGCACCTACCTTGGTTTGATTTGGATCGTGCCTGAGCGGTAATACCTTTGCTCCTTAGAGTCCCAGTGGGGACTGAATCAAGAGGTGCTCCAGCTGATCACAGAAGCTTGGGGTGTCCCTCAGGTCAACCTGTCACCTAAATACAAAACCATTGGTGTTCTTTTCCCTTCACAGGGGGGACCAGGCAGTGGGCCTGGAAGAGTTAGCTCATCCATAGAATTACCCTTTGTCCTACGCGTTCCCTCCATTTCAGCTTATTCCTCTAGTACTTTGAAACGTTCAAGCAGGAATCATCAAATCTAATCCTGGATGATAGCTCCCTTCTGGCCAAAAAGACCTTGGTTCTCAACGCTCCTGAACCTATCCTCCAGACCCCCCTGGAGACTGGTGATCAGGAAAGACTTGCTAGTTCAG